CCCAAAGCGAACGGAACGGAACCTGCCCGACGCGTTGCAGAGCCACCGCGAAGGGTTGTGACGACTTACTCGGGTGCGGAAGTTTGTGGGGGAGGCCAGAGACTCCCAGCCCTTCGCCTAGTGCTTAGTGTTTATAGAAACTCTGTGGATTCTCGTATAAAATACACAGGAATTGAAAAAAATTGGAAACATTTTTAAGAATTGCAAAAATATATATACGCAGGAAGACAAAATATAAACCCAAAGGTAAAAAAGAGAGAAAGAAGATGGAAAGGTAACCCGAAACGCAAAATGCAGAGATGGGTGGAAGGGTTGGGGCTGCGCGGTTGTGTTGTCATGGAAACCACAGCGCCATTCATTGTCATGGAAACCACAGCTACTTCTATCAAAGATGGAAGTCTCCTATTTTGAGGTCTGCTGATAATCAGGGTGGCTCCTTGATGGCAGAGGAATCAGGCAGCTCCTTTCATGGAACACCCACACCTATGTATATACATGAACTTATATATGTGTACATGTGCATATATATGCATATACACATATAGTTGTCTATTTATAAGTATGTATTTACATGTTCTTTTATATATAAACAAATAAAATTTTAGAAAGCTCTCTTAAATATATATTTACCTCCTAAGTACTTTGGAATGCTTAATTAACACAAAGCAGTTGCTTCTCTGGCTGAACTCCGATTGATACACTGATAGGAATTCATGCAGCAAAATATTACCCAACAGGCCTGGGTCGTCCAAACCCTGCACATTCCAAAGAAAGGACTGGCCTCTGACTGGCTCTGGGTACCCTCTAAGCCCTCGGAGGATCCTGTAACAGCAATACGAGGGACGGTGGGGGCCTCGGACCCCACGGTATCAGTTTGACCTCTGGAGGAGCCGAAGGCTGAGTAACCAGGGCAGCCGCACAGGCAGGTGCTCCACTCCTACGTGAGCACCCGCGATCAAAGCGCCGCAGGCTGTGGCCCAGAGCTCCCCTGGTGAGCCGTGCTCCCTGGGTGTGGTCATGCTGTGTTGCTGGGACGATTAAGTGCTACCCGTGTGACTGCAATGGGAGAGGACAACCGGAAGTTTGTGCCTGGGTTTCTCCTGGACCCTGTCTCGTGCACCTTTTTCCTTTGTTGATTTTAAACGGCATCTTTTTGCTGTAACAAATTATAACTGTGAGGACAATCATTTTTCTGAGTCCCATGAACTCTTCTAGCAAACCATTGAACTTGAGGGTGGTCTCGGGGACCCTCGACGTAGCATCTCAAACGCAACGTGCCCTAATTTTTCATTTGCTCCCTCTTCTGTTCTCCAAATCTGTTCTCCACCAAACCTGTCCCATATCAAAGTAAGTGACATCATCGTCCTTTTAGTTGTTCATCCCAAAAACCTAGGAGCCACACTTGCTTAACTTCCCGTTTACCTCACGCCCCATCCTATAGCAAAACAGCAAAGACTATTAGAGTCTAAAGTACATACTGAAAAGTGCCTATAGCACAGGCATGGAGCGTGAACTTTCACAGTCTGAACCCCTGTAATGCACGGCCAAAACAAGAAGCAGAACTTTGCCAGCTCTCCCTTGCTTTGGGAGTCACACATTCCAAGTTAATCGACGTTCCACAGGAAACTACTACCCCCGCTTCTAACAGTGTAGATTAATTTGGCCAGCTTTTGTCCTTCGTATAAATGGAAACATACAATGTGTGCACTTGGGTATCTGGTTTCTTTTGCTCAACGTTTTGCAAGATTCATTTATACTGTGTGTAGTTGTAGATCATTCCGATTATTTAGTATTTTATTGTGTGAACATGTCACAGTTTATCCATTCTGCTGACATTTGGCATTTGGGTAGCTTCCAGCTCTTGGCAATTATGGATATTACTGCAGTGAATATCCTTGCCCGTGCCTTTTGGTGAACACACTTCTGTTGGGTACACGTATCTACATCGATATTGGCACAGGAGTGGATTTCCTGTGGTGTAGGGGTCGCATATGTTTTGCTTTAGCAGATACAGCCACGGAGTTTTCCAAAGTGGTTGCACTAATTTATGTTGCCACCTGCTGTGCACATGTATGAGAATTCTAGTTAATCTTCTCCTCATTTACACTTGGTGTCTTTTTTCACTTTTTTTCTTTCAAAAGCTTTTTATTGATTGATTTCAGAGAGAGAGAGAAAAAAGGAGGGGGGAGGGAGAGCGAGAAAGAGAGATAGAGGAACACTGATTTGCTGTTCCATTTATTTATACATTCATTGCTTGATTCTTGTACGTGCCCTGACCTGGGATAGAACCTACAACCTTGTAGTATCAGGACAATGTTCTAACCAACTGAGCCACCTGGTCAGAGCTTCACTTTTTTTCATTTTATCCATTCTCAATCAGCAAATTTATAGCAGCTCTGTGCTGGCACTAGATTTGAGTGCAAGTTGCCACAATCTTCTAACAAGAGCATCCCACTTGATAGCAATTATACCACGTCCTCTTGCTACTTTCCTGGACCCAGTGGCTCAAACATCACAGAGCCAGCTCCAGGCCACGGGAAAGGCGGTGTAAGAGGAACGCTGCTCAGCAGTGGGAAGGCCCTTGGATCTCTTGCCTTTACAATAATAAAGACGGCTTCCTATGTGTCAGGACACATTTTGACAAAACACTGGAATGGCTGAGCATTTGGTCACAGGCAAAATCACCGTCATAGAATGAAATTTGTGGAATTCAAGAATAAGTCTAAAGGTATATCAAACTATATCAAACTTCTAAATTTTATCACAGTTTAAAAAAAAAAAGACATAGTAACTGGTGTAATTTCATAGCACACACAGCTAGTAAGTGTAATTACGAGCCCGCTCCTCTGGCCACCCTCCTGCCCATTTATGAAACTAAATGGATCACGAAGGAACAAGGACTTTTGACCAGCTCTGCTGATGGAGACATGTCACTAAATTGTCAAGCTTTCCTTCCTCACTAAAAGTAACTGCCTAAAATAGATTTATCTCATCTTCAACTCACAGGCTGGAAGAGCTGTTTGATGGCGATGATGCTACGTCATTGAAAAAAAATCCCATGAACTGAACCTTTGGGAACTGCTAGAAAAAAACTGCCTTGGGGTGTCTTTTCAGGTGCTGACTAAAGAAGGTTGTTCTGTTTTCTTTTGAAGTAATGCTTTGCCAATCATCATTGATTACTGCTGCATCCTACCTTTGCAATATCTTCACTTATGTATTGCTCCATAATAAGCCACCCCAAAATTTGGTGGCATAGAACTTTTTGTTATACTCATTGGTTGTATGGACCAGGAATTCACGCAGGGCGAAGCATTGATGGTTTCTTTCAGCTGCACGATGTCTGGACCTCAACGGGGAAGATGTAAATGTGACTCAAATGGTTGGGGAGTGACTCAGGTAGATGGGGGCTAGAATTATCCAGCAGTTTCTTTAATCGCATGTCTGGTGCCTGGGCGGAGAGCATTTGAGGGCTGGACTCAGCAGGGATCTATGGACTACAGCACACACGCAGGGCATGGGCTTCCTCACAGCACGCCAGGCTGAGGATAGCTGAACTCCTCCCTTGGAGTCTTAGGGACCCAAGAATGACTGTGTCCCAATGAGCAAGGAAGAAGTTGCTTGGCCTTTCATAACCCAGCCTGCAACATCACATAGGTCCCTCCCAAAATCCTCTCTTGGTTCAATCATTTCCCTTCTACCTCACTCTGTGGGTGAAAGCAGTTACAAGTCTGCTCAGATTCAAGCGGAGGGGACATAGATTCCTACCTCTCAGCCAGGGGAAGGCCAAACATCTCAGGGCTGTGTTTTAAAACCACCCCATAATGGTGTGTATGTTCATTCTTTAGCCGTTTCACAGAATTGCAACATGTGAACAACATGAGATTTGTAAATTCTAGTTATAGCTAAAGTGTTTAACATTTTGAATGACAATTTTTTTTAAATTTTATTTTTTGCATGAAATGTAAAGGGAACAAATACTGGTTAAGCCCAAGTTCAGGGATGGCAGAGATGACAATTGGATAGGTATTTGGCTGTTTGGCCTTGCCAAGGCCAATTCCCAAACCAAATCCCAAGAACAGATATTGGTTGGAGATCCCAGCCATAGCTGTGCTTCATGCATTTTTCCTATGTAATCTCCCTGAATCTTCAAAATGTTCTGATCAGGAAGGTTTTTATTGGTGTTCCTATGGTGAAGAGGAAGGAGCTCCAAGAGGTGAGAGGGCTTGTCTAAAGCTGCGCAGCCTGCAAGCGGCATTGATAGGTGGGGGCCTGGCAGGAAACATGGCAACTCAAAATGAGTCACTGTGTTTAACTAACTACCATCAGAGCTGTTGCCTGTGGGCAACAAGCTGAGAACATCAACAAGGAAAGGTGACAAAATCCACAGGCTTTGGGGGGGGGGGCGGGGGGGGGGGAAGCAAGAAGTTTCTGGAAATTTCTGGAATCCGGGAACCGTGGCTTAAGTGGGCTCCTCTCAAGAGCTGTGGCTTTTGTTAGAGTAATGTAAGCGGGATTAAGGCCACTGTTGCCTTCGGCCCTCTGATTTCTAGTTTCCAGGAGGCACGCTGACTGAACCCAGCAGGAAAGCAGAATTCGGAGGTCTACCTGGTGCAGCCTCGGAAGTCTGTCCCCGACCCCTGTACCCCAGGCCCATGCCGAGCGTAGGAGGGTGGAAAAAGTAGGCCTGGAGGGGCACTCGGAGTGTACGAAAACGCCTGGCTCCGCAACGGCGTGAAGAGCTGCTTTCTGCGCTCCCGTCCCCCCTCCCCTGCCCCCAAGCCCGCAACTGGCGGTTGTCATGGAGACCATGAGCGCTGCTTGGCGGGCGTAGGTTGCGGAAGCAAGCGCGCACGCGCGCGCTGCGACGCCGGTCTCAGCGCGGCGCAGCTGCGGAGATCGAGGCGGGACGCTGCGTGATTCGCCAGTACCGGAGCGGACCGGAGCGGACGCCAGCTTCCTCTCCTCCCGCCGCTAGCTGAGCTGCTGCGCCGGAGTGGCCTGAGGCGGCGGCTCTGCGGGGCCCTACTGGGCGCTCGGAGGCGGGGTTGGCAGGTTTCCACCAGCGGGCTGAGAGCCAGACCCCGGGGCGGGCCGAGCGCGGTTTTAGGCGGATCCCAGGACACGTGTGAGCACCCCGGGCCCGGTTCGGGAGGAGGGCCCTGGGAAAGCGCCAGGCCTTGTTGGCGGTCAGCCGCGGAGGGGGCCGCTAAGACCTTTGAGCTTGGCTGTCTTCCTGGGAATCTGACCTCCTTCTCTTGTCCCGGTACAGGATTCATATTTGAGGGACCCCGGCTGCCCCAGTCCATCTGGCAGACTCTTCCTTGCACGTACAGTTAGCGTTGGCGAGTGATTGCGACCATGACGATGAACCTGTTGGAGGACTGGTGCCGCGGGATGGATGCGGACATCCACAGGTGCCTCCTGGTCACAGGCATCCCGGAGGACTGCGGCCACGCGGAAATTGAGGAGACCTTGAATGGGGTCCTCTCTCCGCTGGGCCCGTACCTCGTGCTCAACAAGATTTTTTTGAGGGAAGAGAATGCCAAAGCCGCCCTAGTTGAGGTGGGCGAGGGTGTGAGTCTGAGGGCCATTCCCCGGGAGTTTCCGGGAAGGGGGGGTGCCTGGAGAGTGGTCTGCAGAGACCCCACCCAGGATGCAGAGTTTTTAAAGAACCTGAATGAATTCCTGGATGCCGAGGGCCGCACCCAGGAGGATGTGGTCCGCCTGCTCCAGCTCAACAACGACCCTCCGCCGCAGCCCCAGAACCAGAGCTCGCCTGAAGAGAACTGGGCAGAAACTTTGGGGGTGCTCCTGGGGGCTGTGATGCAAATCATCTTACACATGGATGCAGAAATCCGCAGCCTGGAGGAAGCTAGGGCCCTGGAGGCCGCCGAGGCCTATGAGGTGGCAGCAGCCGCTGCAGCAGCCGGGAGGAAGGTCAAGAGGGAGCCAGGGAGGGCTGCTGAGGTGGGCCCTGCCCAGAAGGTGGAGAACCCAGACAGCTGGAATGACACGGAAGAGGAAGGTGACCCTCCCAAACCTTTGGTTCCTAAGGCTGGAGCTAAGAATCGCTCCAGGAGAAGGAAGCAGAAAAAAAAACCCAGGCGGGAACCAGTACCCTGGAAGAAACCCGGAGGCCACCCTTCCAGCAGCTCTGCCTCCTTGGAGGATCCCGAGGCCGGCGATGGTGAAAACAGGGAGGTGTCAGAACACACCAGGAGCAACAGAAAGCCCTGTGTGAAGCCAGAGGAGTCGGCTTTGAAGAAGCCTGCGGAGAAATGTGCTTGGAAGTCTCCCAGACCCGCGCCTCAGGAGGCCGGGACAGAGGCTGCCCCTGAGTCAGACCAGGATGGTGGTCGTGAGGGCCCCCCAAGGAAGAAGGCCGCGTGCTGTGCCTCTGCCAAGAGCCTGGCCCTCGTGAGGAAGAAGAAGAAGGTGAGCTTGGGCCCCATCTCTTATGTCCATGTCGATGTGGAAGATGCCAAGAAGAAGCCAGTGATTCCAAAGAAAGGGCCAGGCTGGAGAAGGGGGGTGTCAGTTCAGAGTGCCCCTCAAGGCCCACAGCCCGCCGAGTCGCCAGCCCCAACATCACAGGGTGCAAAGGTCAAGCCAGAAGACTCCCCTCATGGTGAGAATTATAGCTGAAGTCATTTGGGTTGTGTCAACACACATGATGGGGGGAGGGGCGGCAGGGGCAGGTAGGGGCTGAGGAGCCCAAGGGGGCGGCAGGTCACACGGTCAGTGAGGAGGACCCCAGTGCAGTGGAGGAGGCGGGTGACACCCCAGGTGAGGATTTAGAGGGCAAAAGCCCTGCTCTCCATCCTCGGAGCCCCACAGGGCCACAGTGGGGACACCTCTGGGGGCAGGAGATGCCAGAGCAAAGCCAAAATCTTTGTCTCGGTGAGTGTTGTGTGATATTCTCAGGTCACTCTGCCACTCCTTCTGACCATCTCCCTCCAAGAGCATCAAAGGGTTTGGGGTTAAAATGTTTGTCAGGGTAAAGGGGCTTTCAGGGTGGAGCCTTCTGGAGGCCTGGTTGGGGGATAGGAAGTTCCAGGAAGTAAAAAAAATTTCCAGGTGACACCTCTCCCTGCTTAACCTTTTTAACTGTCTTAATTTCTCCACAGAACCCAGGAAGCTTTCAGTTGGGGGACCACGGACCTGAAAGAAGACCAAGGAAGAAGTTCCAAGTTGGGAACAAAGCTTTCTCTTGTCTTTGAGTGAACCCATACTTTTGACTCGCTTAGGGACCCAGTTTGTTTTGGTTTGGTTTTTCATCCTCACCTGAGGATATGTTTGTTGATTTTAGAGAGAAAGGAAGGGAGAAAGAGAGAGAGAAACTTCATTGTCAGAGAGAAACGTTGGTCAGTTAGTTGCTCCCATGCTGCTCCCTCAGTGGGCATTGAACCTGCAACCTAGGCATGTGCCCCGACTGGGGATCAAACCTGCAGACTTTTGGTGCACGGGACAACATTCCAACCAGCCGACCCACCCGGCCAGGGCAGGGACCCACTTCGTAGATATCTGGTTCTCAGAGGTAAATGCTACATGAGATCTTAGGTGGGAGGAATTGGGGGGGGGGGGGAGGTATACGTACCCCTGTGCTTTTCTCTCCTCCAGGCCTTTGAGGTTGGTGAGTCAGTAAGTAGATTGGGAACATTCTAGAACATTCACTTTGACACATAGGCAGGGCCACTGTTACGCGTCTCCATGTTTGGCCTTTCTCCCTGCGTCTGAGGGGCCGGCTGACCTGGGCAGCGCCTGGCGATCTCTGGGGCAGGGTGGCCGTGTTTTCCTGTCACCTTCTATGCTCCCACCAAGGGTAAGTTAAGGCAAAATCTTTGATGCAGGCCTGGCGTCCTTGCTCCTCCCAGTCTTCAACTTCTGTCTCCCAGTTACCTAACTCGAGGGTGGTAAGGTCCTGAGAGTTAGTCTTGGGGAAAGAGAATGTCCTTGAAGTATTTCAGTTTGAAGTTCTGTTAATAAAGACGGTCCTTAGATTTCCCACTTGGGAAAAGTCCCTGTCAGGAACCTGCGGGGGTGATGCATAGGGAAAGACAGGCTGTCCCAGCTTCCCTGCTCACTCCATCCAGTGCCACCATGTACTCAACATCTTTGAGCCTGAAGACACTTCTGATGTCGTAGTAAGAGGGAAAAATATTCTTAGAAATTGGTGGTTGGTTTCTGTCCTCTGAATAGACAGACTGGCATAGCATGTCTCCTACGTGCGCATGCGGAGGGGGGACCGGCTACCTGAGATCACTGGTTTGCAAACTCCTGAGGAGGCCCAGGGTGTGCTCAAAGATGGGATCTGGATCTATTTTTTCCTGTATTAAAAAAAAAATAGAAAAAGGGTTACTCAACTTACGTCGTCAACCAAACCCATCACGTTGGAGACTGTCAAAATATTACCTTGATTTCATAAGTAAACTTGTTTCTGTACAGGTCTCAAATGAATTGTTTCTGCCATTTGTGTATAAATGATTCTTTTGTAGCTGTGACTGATGAGAAGCAATTTTGTAAATGTCACTGAAGTGGGAGAAATTCAGTCCCGTGCATGCCTTGTACTATAACTGTGTGGTTCACGTGTCCTACCAGCTGCGATTTTCAGTTGTGTGAGAGCAAGTTAGTGCCCTCACAGTCGCCGTATTCTGTCAGGAAGTGTTTAACCCTCAGCGTTTTCAGTCTCTCTTCTGACCTCAGTTTTTATAACAAAGAATGTGAACCGTTGTTAAATGTTGTTAGTGATTCAACTTTGAAAACAAATTTCCTGTGACAATTTCAAAATCCTGCATGAGCCTTGCTGAAGAGGCAGGGGGAAAAGAGCCGTTTGCACGCGCAACTCTTCATCTGCGTGCATCACGGGTGTCCTCGGCGTGTGCAGAACAGAGCATGGAGCAGGCTGGACTCAAGGTGACGGGAGCCTGCCGCGCTCTGGTGCCTGATTTCAAAATCAGGTCCATTTGGCTTCACTGTGTGGACAGAGTGACGCCATGATCGGTAGTTGTCAGTGCATATGTTATAAAATAAAGTTTAGCAAATTAAAAATGGAGTCTCTTTTGTAGGAGGAGGGGGCGTGGACTTTTAATTTGAGAAAAGGGTTCCCCCTGCTGAACAATGGATGCGAGCTATTGTCAGATGTGCTTCTAGCTTCCATTTTGTGGGAGAAGGGACCAATGAGGTGTCTCTTTGCTCAAGGCATTTCACCAATGGGAAAGGCACTCCAGCAGATCTTGGGGTTTCTATAAGTTTTCTACACCAGATAACTGATGATGTGAATTATCTGAAAGTGAGAGTTTATTTTTCAAAGTAGCTGGGTGATGAAAATCCTTGCCTCCCCTTCCGTCAGACAAAAGCAGAGGTTTTCAGCTAAAAGCTTAGTAGTTACCTCCTGCTGCTGCTGAGCCCCTGCTAGGGACTCCTGAGTCAGGGGGCCACTTTCTCAGAGTCCCTGGCTCTTTGTTAAATGCCATTTCTGGGCCCGGATCCCTCCGGGGTTTATCCAAAATCTGCATCTTAATTTCCCTTGAGACTTCCATGCATCTATCAGTGGGAGAGCTCCAGGTGGAATAATTCACATTTGAGGAAGGGGACAGGTCCTGAGGAGCCAAGGTTGGGGTTTAGTAAAAGGGTAAGAGGTGGTCAGGGAGGGAGGGCGTTTAGGAGACCAGAGGGAAGCTGGACTCAGGACTGCGGGCTGCCTGGGCACTGGAGTCCGCCCCGGAAAGACCCAGGGGAAAGCTTCCTGCTGGGGTCTCTGCCCTCGCCTTATTCAGCCAAGATCTTAAAGTCCCTCCCAGAGGTCGTCACTCCCTCTACCCCCAGCTGGTCAGTCAACTCGGCAAGCCTCCCAAGGCCACAGGTCGGGGGAGTTCCAGGGATGGGACCAAGTGAGGCACAGTTCTGTCCAAACTTGACTTTTTAGTAAACAATACTGCAAAAGAGATGTGTGATGATCTTTTTTGTTGAATATTTTTTAAAAGATTTATTTATTAGGGAGAGGGGAAGGGAGGGAGAAATGGAGAGAAACATCAAAGTATGGTTGTTGCTCGAATGCCCCCTACTGGAGACCTGGCCAGCGACCCTGCCTGGGAATCAAATCTACAACCCTCAACCCACTGAGCCACACCAGCCAGGGCTTGTTGAACATTTTTAAATGGAATAATGATACAATAATATCTGTTAATAAATGCACATGTTTGTTTCAGAAAGGTACATACACATACACACCTATATATTTAATATATCATAAATATATATATTTAATATGTTTTGCAGCGACTACCCTTGGAGTGAGGAATGGGGTGGAGGGCAGGTGGACCGGGTGCTGGGGGCTGGGGGTCCTTTCAGGATTTATTTTGGTTTCCTGTACTTTGTCAATTTCTAACTAAGCACACATACTGGGTTTGGGTTTTTTTTTTTTTTCAGTAGTCAATATTCAGCCATAAAAAGTCACGAAGTCCTGGTACCTGCTCCGATGTGGCAGACCCTGCAAAATATTAAACTCTGTAAGAAACCAGACGCAAAAGGCTATGTATTGTAGGATTCTACTTACTGTGAACTGTGGAAACAGGCAAATCAACGGACACAGGAAGTAGGGTAGTGGTTGCCCCGGCCGGGGCAGGGGAAATGGGGAGTGACTGCTAATGCGTACAGGGTTTCCTTTGGGGGGGCGGAAATGTTCTGGAACTAGACAGAGGTGGCTGCTGCACAACATCGTGAATGCACTAAATGTCCCCGAATTGTACACTTTAAAATAGTTACTTTTAATGTTATGTGAATTTCAACTCAATTTTTAAAAAATCTGCCAGCTGAATCATGGACCTTTTTTGAGGGAGTAAGGTGAGGGTTTGTTGTACTTTCCCGCGTTAAAAAAGTCACCACGCCAAACACACGTGTTAAACGTGGGAACCACGTTACCTTCACCGGCAGGTGAATTAGCTCTGCCGCAGACATTGCACGAAAGCTTTCCCTGTCTCCCTGAGACGTGGGTTTCAATGAAGTCTTCCTGATTGATGTTGGTTAGAAGAATTGTAGCTTTCCCAGGGCCAGTTTTTAAAATTCCCCCCTGGGGTCACCCATTCTGGCGTAGTTGCGGGAACAAGAGGGCTGGCAGAGTGTCCCCATCTGGTCTGGTCACGCTCAAGGAAAGCACAGCCCTGCAGCTCGGCCTCTGCGGGAATGTTCCGGCACGACAGTGAGAGCGTGTAGCTCACGGCAGCGACTGTAGTTTGCTTTCGTGCTTCAGGCGAGTTCTGAGTGTTTCTCCTCTGACTCACACTTCAGGAAGGAATGCGAGCACAGACAGAATGTTCAGGATCAAAACTCCTGGGCACGAATTCCCCTGCCACTGCTCTTGAGATCCTGGGTGTGCTAAACTGAGGCATTTTCTATCAGTGCAAAGTGGGCTGTCAATGTGTGAGAACAGGGAGGAAAAATCTGGAACAACCAGAAAATGGAGAGAAAGGCCGGTAATAAAGGGCTGGCTCTGTCAAATATTAAAATGTTTCACGATGAACCTCAATAATGAAAACAGCTCAGTACTGACTGACAAATGGGAGAAAATGGAGTCTGGAAGCAGAGCTACATAAATATAAGATTGCAGTTTATGATACAGATGGGGTTTGAAATTGGCGTGAGAGATGAACTATTCAGAAAATGGTGCTGGGAAAACAAGCTAAATATTTGGGGAAGCAGAAGCCTCCCCTTACATCAGAATTAATTGCAGGGCCCTGGCTGGTGTGGCTCAGTGGATTGAATGCCAGCCTGTGAACCAAAGGGTTGCTGGTTCAGTTCCCAGTCAAGGCACATGCCTGGGTTGCAGGCCAGATCCCTGGTAGGGGGCGTGTGAAAAGGAACTGCACATTGATGTTTCTCTCCCTCTCTTTCTCCTTCCCTTCCACTCTCTCTAAAAAATAAATAAGTACAATCTTTAAAAAAATTATTAAATAGAGAATTAATTGCAGAAAGGTCAAGCGTTTATAGAATGAAATTGTAAGAGTTACAGAGGGAAAGATAAGTGGATAATTGGTCATCTTGAATGGAAGGAAGCTTTTCAGAGATGAGTGCACTGGCGTAGTGCAAAGGCCTGTCCCCCTCACATAGATGTAGGCCAAAGCTGGGACCCAGGGCGGGGTCCAACCTCATGTAACCTGAAGCCATGAAAGAAACCTGGCTACTCGGCCACTGTGACCACAGAAAACTTAATTGAAAAAAAAAAAAAAAGATTGTATTTATTTTTAGAGAAAGAG